GGCACTTCCAAAAAAAAAAACCCCGCGGCGGGGTACCAATAGTGTTTTTTAACAATGCAGTGCATTGTCAGAAGCAAGAACTGTTTTTAGAAAATGGTTAGTTTGAAGTTTGTTCTGTTTAAATCCCAGCTTTTCAACTTATACATAACTATTCTGAAAGAGAGAGAGAGAGTTTGACTCTGGAGTTGTTCATGAAGGATAACAGATATGGTGCTTTTGTGCCCTTCAGCTTTTCTCTGTTTTATTGCATTATATTGTATGTCATCTGTGACTGCAGAGAGAAGATTATTATGCTCCTCAGAACATCTTGAAATTTGGTACACCGTTGATGGTAAGTGGAATATCAAATACTTCATATAAACACACTTCAAATATATATAGGCCTATATAATCAAATGAATATAAGTCTGAGGTCAGTAACCTTTATTTGTTTAAGATTTTTATAATCACTTGATGGATTTATTTGATCAAAAATACAATAAAAACAGTAATATTGTGACATTGTTCAAATGTAAAATAACTGTTTTCTATTTGAATATATTTTAAAATGTAATTTATTCCTGTGATGGCAAAGCTGAATTTTCAGCAACCATTACTCCAGTCTTCAGTGTCACATGAGCCTTCAGAAATCATTCTAATATGCTGATTTGGTGCTTAAGTAACGTTTCTTATTATCATAAATTTGGAAAACAAATGTGCTGCTTAAAATTTTTGTGAAAACCTTGATATATATTTTTGTGGATTCTTTGATGCATAGAAAGTTCAAAAGAACAGCATTTTTTTTTAGAAATAAAATAATTTGTAACATTATAAATGCCTTTACTGCCACTTTTGATCACATTAATAAATCTTACTGACCCCAAACCTTTGAACAGTATAGTGTACATATTGGAAACCTACATATTAGTAATCCACAAAAGATGATACATGATAACATAAAAACAAATGTATTTCATAATGAACAGCCAATACTCTCTCTTTAATCAGGCCCATTGTATTACCTGTCAATGACCGGTTTCCCCTGCAATCTAGGAGTGAATTTGTATTCTGTAAAGTATAGAGTAATCCCAAGTAAGTTTGTGAAAGACTTTATATTGATCATATAATATAGTTTTATTTATGGAACTGCCTCTGTTTAATTTAACTTTGTTAATTAAATTGATATAGCCTAACTACCTAACTTTGACATGATCTGTTGACATTTGCATTGTTTTTCAGTGTTCACGATCAGCCGTTTTGGATATCATGGTCTTATTTACTACAAAGATCAGCTGTGGTTGGATCACGTGCAGCCAGATGTTCCTTGTGAAGATATCAAATTATGTTACATCATCAAAGGAGGTACTACATGTTGGAATATGTTTACTGCATTATATTTTACTGTGGTGATGCAGCTGGAATACCGATGAGGTTGTTTTTCTTGTTTCAGAAACACTTCATGAGACTTTTCCATTTGATGTGAAAAAGTTTTTTGGCCCTGAGGTGAGTAATCAACATAATGCTTCAGAAATTAAATGTATTAAACTACATACTATATATATGCTATGTACTATATACTATATACTATACACAAAGCATTTTTTTTTTTTGCTGTTTTACTTTACAGGGAGAGTATCAGGTTTACCTGACTGTAAACATTGTTGATGACCTTGAAAACAAACTGACAATACAATTCAACATCACTATGGATGTTAAAAATGATGGCAATAAGAAAAACAAATTCTTTCCACATTTGGGAAGGCTATAGGACAAGCTTTATTTTTTTGAGGTAGATTATTCATTCTGTATTTTTGCTTCAGTTTTCTGACCAGATCAAGTGATCGTCAGTGGTTAACGAGTGTCACTCTAATGACAGCTCTAAAGTTCCTGTATTAGACATTCTGTCATTCTAGCAAATCCATCTCAAATTATTAATATGCATTCTGTTTGTTTGTGTAGTATTTTGATACCAGGTAGTATTTTTAAAGGGGTCATATGATGTGATTTCAAGTTTTCCTTTCTCTTTGAAGTGTTACAAGCTGTTCGTGAATAGATAAGATCCCTAAAGTTGCAAAGACTAAAGTCTCAAACCCAAAGAGATATTCTTTATAAAAGTTAAGACTGGTCCACGCCCCCCTAAAACCCCTCGTTCAAACACGCCCCCACATATCTACGTCATGATGTGGGATACGTTTTTTATATTTAAAGAGTTTTTATATTTTTTTTATATTTAAAGCGAGTTTTTTGGGCAGTGTAGAGTAGGGCTTGTTGTTTGTCATTTCTCCGATCACAGATGCAGACATTGTTTTATGTTTACGCGGCGCGATGCAACGCAACACATATAAAGACAGTATAAGTCATTATAATCTATAATTATGTCCCCACTGGATGCAATGAATGCCTCGTTTATAATGGGTTTTCATGTTTTTAAATCAGGGGCAGGGCAGGGCATCACAATATGGTGAGGGGCGTAACATTTCCGTCTCACGCTTGAGGTATTCGGCCAATCACAACGCACTGGATTGCTGGCCAATCAGAGCACACCTCGCTTTTCAGACCGATGAGCTTTGTAAAAATATACACGTTTCAGAAAAGTGGGGCATAGAGGAGAAACAATAATGTACAGTATGTGGAAAATAATGTGTTTTTTGAACCTTAAACCGCATAAACACATTTCATTACACCAAATACACAAAATAATGTTCTTTTTATCAACATCATATGACCCCTTTAAGAACATTTAGATTCCACTAAATGGGAAAGGCCGCCCTTTCAGCCCACCCAGCAGCCTGTCAATTAGGAACTTGATTCTTCTTCCTGGATGGCGCATTATCAGCTGCTGAGTATTGTCATTCATTCAGAACTGCCTTCTGTTTGAAGTTTGGACAGACTGAAATAGTTAAAGGAGGTTAAAATATCAACAGCTTCATCAACAGTGTCTGCCATTAGCCAGGAGTAGCTCTCACTCATTACTTGTAAATGTGCTATTTGTGAGACATTACCTTATATGACACTTGATCATAGAAACATGAGTAACCACATAAAGTATGTTTATGTTTATGTGTTATGATTAATGAATGCAAATAATTCCTAAGTATATTATAAAAACAAACATGCCAATACAGTACTTTATAAAAAAAAATATATATATATACATACATACATATTAATTTATTTAAGCAAAGATGTAGTCAAATCAGTAAAATTTAGAAATTCCATTACACTTCAAAATAAACTGTGAAAAAAAAACTTAAAAACAGATTAAATATAATTGTTTTATGTAAAATGTAATGTATTTCTGTGATGGCAAAGCTGAATTTTCAGAATGCTTATTTGGTGGTGCTCAATAAAAATGTGCTATTATTATCAATGTTGAAAATAATAATACATACAATTATATATTATTATATATATTTTTTTTTCAGGATTTTTTGAGGAATAGAAAGTTTAAAAACAGTAAAAAAGATTATTCGAAATGGAAATTGTTTGTAATGTTATAAAAGTCTTTACTGCCACTTTTGTTTTATTTATTTTCTTGCTGAATAAATGTATTTCTTTCAAAATTGTCTTTAACAGGACATGAGGGTGTCAAGAGGGTTGGGTGTGAGGTGGCATATTCATAGTGGGAGTGTGGGTTTTGCAGGCCTGACAAGAGAGAGCAGGTGTCTCAGGACGGGCTGACCTCACAGCTTTGACCCAGGGGGCCTATCAATCTAGATCTAATAGCAGGGAGGAAATGCATACATTAATGGACTACGTGTCATTTTGAATTTATAAACGTTCATCATCTGTGTCCTCGAGCAGCAAAACAAAGTACTTGATAAGACGCTAAATGAATTACTTTACTTATTAATGAATTAATAATTTTACATTTTTGCCAAAAAAAATGTGTTGAGGCTTATATGAACATAAAAAAATTTGCTTCTGGTTTGAAGACCACTGTACTTGATAGTTAATTTCTTTAAAAAAAAAAAAAATCAGATCCACTCTGTTCACAATGGCTTATTACAGCAAACCTTTTCTTTAGAAGAAGTGATGACCTGTGAAATATGAGCCGGTGTATGAAGTTTGAGATGGTTGAGGTTTCTCACTGTCTCCCATTCACATACCACAAATTCTGTGTAACCGATACTGTTTGACCTTGGCAATTCCCACGAAAATATTTCTCAAATGATACAGGATCTAAGTTGGTCTCAACAAATTGGGGAAAGATATTTTTCGGAAATTATGCAAACAATGACACAATGTACCGAAGCTGGAGGAAATCCAATCAGTGCTGACTGAGCGATGTCATGTAACTACGTGACATACAGTACCTCTGAGTGATCCTCTTCCTGTTTGTGCGTCAACAGAGGGTTATTGAGGTAAAATGTCACGCGAGATTAGACGCTAATGGCTGCGGCCTTTGAGAAACAGAACTTTGTGTGTTATGTCTGTTGGTTGAGCCTCTATTTCAGGCTCTTTCTATATTAACTGTAGTCCACCATGGGGTCCATGTTCACATACTAAAAGAGAACAACAAAGCAGCTGGTGGGTGACCTTCCACTCTCTCCAGTGAGCTCAGAGGAGGAGAGAGACAACATAGGCTGGTGCAACTCTCATGGTGCTCAAATACGAACCTCTCCCAGCCAACAGCAGCTGCTTTGCACTATTTTGGGCTTAGGACCACTGCAGAAATCCTCCAGACAAGGAACAGTTTTCACACTCAAGGGGGAAGGACTGCTCTAAAATAAAACATACCTGTAAGCCTAGACAGACGGCATGGAAGTAATGGGAGCCCCCTGTCTGATCTCTTCTCTGTCTAATAATTTTCTGCATTAAACTGTGTAATCATTTCAAAACTCTTCTTTGTCTAATAATAGGTTATTAGACATTATTTGCACTTGGTGTTGGTCAATGAAATAGGAAAAAAAAACATGTCAGGACATACTTCAAGACTTTGCAAAGTCACCTTTTTAATTATAATTTTAAAATATTTTTAAGTTCCAAAAAAAATAATATATATCTATATATATGTTTCAATATCATTAAGGTGTGTGGGACAGTTCATATCAAAACATTCATCAACATTTTTCCATGTTCAACCTTTAAAATGAAAACAATACATTCAAACCAATTAAAAAATGTGAAGATTACAATGAAAGATTAAAGCCATTTTAAATGGCGTATTTAACCCTTCCATGCTGTTGCAGGTCATTTTTACCCTTCTTTTTTTTTTGCTTTAATACAAGATTTACTGCAACTTTTTAGCTTAAAACTTCTTGACAGCTTTGATAGGGAAACAGCATGAAAGAGTTAAATCAAATGCTGTTTTACATTAAAACATCTTAAATACTAGCTGTTTTTTTTTTGTTAGAAAAATTCAGTGCCAATTGTAACATTTCTTGGTATAGAGATGCTTAGAAACAAAATGACAAAAAAGTTTCATGAGGAACTTTTAATTATATCTAATATGGTCAGGATGGAATATAAACAGAAACAGAAAACAAAACAAAACAGAAAAACAGCCATTTACATAGCCAATAAGAGTAAATCAAAGAAGTTTCCCCTACCACCAAAAAATAAAAAATAAAAATTCTTTAAAAATAAGTCTGTTCTACATTTGAAGATTAATCTCTCGTCAAATGACAAGCCATCATCCATTCTGATGCTCTTCTCTTCCCTCCTCCTTCCCTTTCACATACTCTCGCAGTCTGACAAAACCTCTGTAAAAACAGTCACCCTGTTACTGACGAAATTCATGCTTCACACGACACATACAGCCCCACATCCACAGCCGGGCAAATACACCATGCAAGCAGGATGTTCGAAACAATCAGCAAAAGATGCGGTACTGTAATTTTAGTCAAGGCCATTTAGTGTCCAACTGTTGACTAAATATATTCTGACTTTGTATATAAAATAGATCTATTTATATGTATACACTTGTCATTTAAATACTGGTGCAAATGCACCATGCGCACAATAATTGCAACCACACCTCATGCACCACCAGACCAAAATAATGGAGAATAACAGCAGATTTCCACAAAATTCCTAATTAAGACAGCATTTCAAAAATCACATTTTCTGAGGTAAATTATAACACTGTTACAGATTCTTTAAAGGCAACCATCTCTACATTCGCATTTATAACCAGTGGGTCAACCTGAATGTATTCAACACAATTTAGCAGGCATAATATTGAGGCAGGTACCGCTCTGCATATCAAGTTCAGGGGTAGTGCGAGAGGTTTGGGGGGGTTAGAGGGCACAGTCTCAGGCCATGAAGATTAAAGGTGCAAATTGTCACAATTAGTCATTTTTCAAAAAATAAAAGCCATGCATTATAGCCTACAGTAAGTAGTACAATGTCAAACATACTGCCTATCTTTTAAAAGAAATCACATACACAATTTTACAATAATACCTTAAATAAATATATATAAATATTTTTTTTAAATCAAACCACACACTATACTCTATTATTTTTTTCTTCTAAAAATAAGCCATCTTAAAAATAAATAATATTAGATTTTTTTTTTCTCCATAGGACATGTTAAATCTTACAGTTAAAACTGTAGCGTGCTTTAATTTTTATGTTTGGTTTTACAAGGGACTAGAGATATTTTCGTCATCCTTAGCTACAGGTGCAGAAATACAACAGAAAGAAAAAAAAAAGTCAAGACAAAGTCGTTAAACCAGTACCATGCACAGGCATGTCATGGATGAATCTCCTAAAACAGGAGCAAGAGATGTTAGACAAGGCTGTAGAGATGGGTAATGGAATAAGACTGGCAAGTGACCCTTTCAAAATGTGCATGGTGTTTCAAACCAAGCAGAAAGCGGACACTGGTACACACTCCTGCTGCCCAAACACACTGGCAACCCACTGCACATCTCCCCTTTAAAACGTCAGTTGGTAAAATAGTAAGGCAGCTGTTCACTTCCATCAACTAAAAGTGCATCTCCGAACATATCCAGTTAAGTCCCCCCATTCCACCCCTCCCCATAGCAGCGGGGTGGACATGCACTTGACTGGGTACGGCTTGGATCAGCAGATTCTTTTTCTTTCCCAACGACTGCTTGCTTCAGCTTTCAGAGCCCAAGCGAGTCACAAATCATCGCCAGAGGAACTGGGTTGGCTCAGGCCGAATGGTCCGGGTTTCGTCTTTCTCCCATGATTTGCTCTAATTCCAGTCGTCCAGTCCTTTGCCTGTGTCTGAGTCTGACTTGTGCCATTTTGTTTTAAAGGCCATTGATGCAACTGCGGAGAATTAGGGGCTATGCCGCTAGTTTTCATGAGCTCACTGAAGGGTCGAAACAGTTAGAGGGTAAGTAATTATGTTGAATAACATTCAGGCACAGCTGCAATTACATGGCAAAAGTAAGGCAGACTACATTAGTTGGAGACTGACATGGGGCAAAGATCAGGGCCTATGGCAACCTGCAAAATCCTCCATCTGAGTGCAAGAGTCTTACCTGAGTTTAATGTTCCGTCAAGTGAGGAAATGGACAAAAATAATTGCCAGTCCAATATTTATCAGCATCACTAGTATGACCAATATTGAGTTGGGACCCTGAAGAACCAGCGAAAGAGACAAAGCTGGAGATTAGCAATTGGATGTCGTGACAATCAAAATGACACCAGCTCTCATAATGCAACTGAAAATACTAGGCACGCACCAATATTAAAATTTACATTTTAATACCGAAAAGCCGATAATTATTTTCAAGTTATGGCCAATACTAAAATTATATAATGTTGTGTTTAAATATAAAAAAATAAATACATTTTAAAGTAGATACTAAAAATTAAAAACCACCATTTATATAAGCATGCATGATATATTGATACCATATCGTTTATTTTCCAGTATTAGAAATTTTCACATTTATTAGTATCAACCAATATTGGATATTTAATTATGATCATTTCACAAATGTACTATTTAAATTACATTTGCCGTCATGTAACAATCACTCAAATGAATAAATGAAAAACACTAATCATTTAAAACACTATTAAATGTATACTTAAGAAATCTCAAAATACGGTATGTTGTGATGCCTAAAATCAAGTGTAGCATTTAAAATGATTTCTTTTATTTTTTATTTTAGTTTTATAGTAAAGAAACTATGTGTTCAGATGGAGCGGATTTACTACACAGAGCCGTAGTTCACTGACAAGCTACACAAAACCGCGTCCATAATCGGCAATGAATCGCCTGCGATTTTGAATGCGATTTTGCGCAGCTTGTCAGTGAACTACGGCTCTGTGTAGTAAATGCCGCTACATCTGAACGCACGTGCTGGAGATTTACTACTAATCACAGGAGCGCCTTTACTGACGAGATGCGCATTAAAATCGCATTCGATTTTTTGCACAGCCCTAATAATGCATCTGTGAAAAATGGCATTTTTAATATATTGTAAGAACACAGTCATATTACATATTATATTGATAGTGATAAACAGCCAAAAATAGTCATTTTAATGATATATGTCATGCATGTTGCAGCTACTTACTGACTCCTCCTCAACAATGTCAGTAGTCATTTCCATGCTGGCTTTCTTAGTTTCTGCTAGGCTCTTTGGCTTCAATGATTCCTGTTTCTTCAGTTTGGGTTCGGGTTTGCTCTCTTTGGCCATTACTGGTTTGGGGGTCGGTGCGCGGTGCTGCTTTGCAGGTGGGGGCATCCGGGTATGAGCAGCTGACGTTCCATGGTGTTCTTCGTCCTCCGGATCATCAGGGTGCATCATCACCTCCGCCTTCACATAGTATCCGTGATACTGGGTGTGCAGCTCACCGTTCCCAGGGCTGGAGGCATTGGCGACCAGCGCCGGCGGCTTGGAGGGTTTGGCTACGGGTACTACCTCCTGTTTTACTTCCTGTTTGTCTGATATCCTGGAAGTAGCCTTGGTGACACCTGCTGCCAGGCTTTCGGCAGCAGGGGGCTTGTTTTCTTTAATGGCTTTTGGGGCACTTCTGTTAAAGAAGTGTCAGTTAGCACTGCATTATTCATATACTTTATTTATTACCTGGAGATGACTTGACAAACACAAATAAACCATATATTGTCGCAATCGTATGTTTAATGTCTTCATGTTTCCAAACATTTCTGTTTTTTTGTGAAAACAACTGTTTTCATACAACGATAGCGGACGCTTTTGTCCATATTAGGAATTTCCTCTTATGACTTTCTGCGTGACAGCGCCCTCCGGCTTCGAGTATGAATGAAACATACACTGCACGGAGTGTTTAGCGTTCCGCGATGTTCATCTAGCCTTATTCTGGGTCCGAATAAAACATCAGATCATGCACAGACTATCCTGTCTCTTTGAATTTAAATATATATTATAAATATATTATTAAATATATTTATTCACACCGGCTCTTGAAAACCTCTATGCGAACACACTTGCCCGAAAAAAGTGCGGGGGACGAATTTACGTGATATCAAAAGTGGGGGGGACACGTCCCCCGCGTAATCTACGCCCCTGCATTAATAGTATAAACACTGGTTATTTTTATTCCAATTACCAAGATGTGATTTATGCAACAAGATTTGGTAAGGCTATTTTGAATACAATGGAATAAAACCTTACTAGTCCAGGGCAATATTTACATACAACATGTGCTTATTCAATTCTGAATAATGCCCTGCACCTAACAGACAACAGATTTATCCTAAAAATATATATAAAAAAATTCATGTGCTGGTAGGCCTGTTAAACATTTGATCTCATTCAGAAAAATGCAGGTATTTCAAAAGTTTAAGGCTCTGATTGTTATAATTCACAAACAGCTACCACAGTTGTGGGGATTCAGCAATATGATTCTTTGGACCCACCCAACCTTTCATAGTGGACTAATTTTTTCCCCTAAACAACAGCTTTAATCCCACTGTGACTATCTGCTGTCAGAACTGGCTAGTGTACAATTAACTGACAATTGAATCTAAGCTGCTACTAATGTAAAAGACAATTATTTCTATATTATTTATTTACATTAATTATATATCACATATTATTTATTTATATTACTTATTTTAAATACTTCAGGAAGCAACAAGGATTTTAATTACATAGTAATCCACAGCGTGTAAAATATATTTAGCTTTATAAGCAAGACGTCAGTGGCCAGCCATGCAGACCTGCGATTGAGTTGGGGGTGGGGATTTAAGGATTCCACTTCGAGTGTTTAGGAATTATCCCGAAACCATTTGGTAATGTATGGTCAAATGCCAAAGGCTTTTTGGCTTTAACAAGGCTTTATATGAGCAGAAAGAGGTTGAAGAAACTGTGGTCTCACTGAATTGAGGTTAATGTGATATTATAAATCATACATATATATGCCGCGTGACATTCACCAACTTGTTTCATGTTGGTAATCAACCCTCTACGGACACCTTGGCAATTGAATCGCCATTGGCTAGTAAATTTTTTTGTTTACTCGCCAGACTGAAATACTATACTATATATATATATACAGTGGGTACGGAAAGTATTCAGACCCCCTTAAATTTTTCACTCTTTGTTATATTGCAGCCATTTGCTAAAATCATTTAAGTTAATTTTTTTTCCTCATTAATGTACACACAGCACCCCATATTGACAGAAAAACACAGAATTGTTGACATTTTTGCAGATTTATTAAAAAAAGAAAAACTGAAATATCACATGGTCCAAAGTATTCAGACCCTTTGCTGTGACACTCAAATATTTAACTCAGGTGCTGTCCATTCCTTCTGATCATCCTTGAGATGGTTCTACACATTCATTTGAGTCCAGCTGTGTTTGATAATACTGATTGGACTTGATTAGAAAAGCCACACACCTGTCTATATAAGACCTTACAGCTCACAGTGCATGTCAGAGCAAATGAGAATCATGAGGTCAAAGGAACTGCCTGAAGAGCTCAGAGACAGAATTATGGCAAGGCACAGATCTGGCCAAGGTTACAAAAAAATTTCTGCTGCACTTAAGGTTCCTAAGAGCACAGTGGCCTCCATAACCCTTAAATGGAAGACGTTTGGGACGACCAGAACCCTTCCTAGAGCTGGCCGTCCGGCCAAACTGAGCTATCGGGGGAGAAGAGCCTTGGTGAGAGAGGTAAAGAAGAACCCAAAGATCACTGTGGCTGAGCTCCAGAGATGCAGTCGGGAGATGGGAGAAAGTTGTAGAAAGTCAACCATCACTGCAGCCCTCCACCAGTCAGGGCTTTATGGCAGAGTGGCCCGACGGAAGCCTCTCCTCATGCTTGATATATATATATATATATATATATATATATAGTTTGTTTGTAAAATGGCACAGTTTTTTAAATATCTTAAAGTACACTCTTAACATCAGTCAGTCAAGCATTATAATATGATAATCAAGTATTGTTTAATAATAGTAATTAGAATTAAAACTTGGTAACTATGTATGAATGCAAATGCAAAACGGTGCACACCGGTTTGAGCTTGAACTTGCCCCAGGTTGTGTGCATTCCCTAGAACTGATTTGCTGATTTCGGCCAATGAAATTTCATTGCGCATTAGTTCCGCCCGCTACAAAAATATCACAGATCGCTTGACAGAGAGTGAAACTCTGAAGCGCTCAAGAGTGTTTGGCGAGTGAAAATATATCTGTGCTAAACATATACTTAGCTTCCAACTCACACACTGGCGAGTAAAATCTGAGAATTTATTAGCCATTGGCTAATATTAGACATCATTTAGTCGCCCAGAGTGAAGATTTAGTCGCATATGCGAGTGATTTACTCGCAATGTAGAGGGTTGGTAATGCTAACGTATTAGTTAGGATAATGAAATGAAATGTTACATAATAAAATATACAGTCTGCCACACAGATTTACAATTCATGACCCTGATGTTTTTTTTAAATAATTTGCAGGAATTAAAATCGGTCAGAGCTGGGCTCAGAGAAGCAGTAGATCATTTATGCAAATGGTATTCCTCCCCTTCACAACTCATTTGCAATTGCATCTGCTCTCTTTGCCTTTGCTTGACAGGGAGGCAAAAAAGAGACACTTGACCCAGACACAAAGACAAGGACACAAAGGGAGCAATTAGGGAGGGGCGAAAGGGCGTAGAAAACATATGCGTATGCATGACAGAAAAGCGAATGTGCACGTGGATGGTGGGATACCTGGTTGATAGAAGCTGGGGGACAGTTCTCTGGCCACTGCTCTGGCGATATCAGAGTCCTGGCTGGCAGACAGGGCCGCCTGGTCAGCTGCCTCTGCTTTGGCCCTGGCGTGTGCGGTTCTATGTCAAGCAAAGAGACAAAGCTGGAGTCAGACAGCATGCATGATAAGATATGGGAGAAGGATACATCATTTTAACATTGCTCCTGGCACTATCAGCCACCAAGACTGCAGTGGCTGCAAGTCCACAGTGCTGCTCACAACAAGCACACAATGATGCTTTCATTAACAGAAGCTAAGAAACAAGTTACTATGCTGTGTACTGTTTTCATTTTCCTATTCACAAAAATCTAATAGTGCTAAAAATAGAGCAAAATGTTGTTTTTAGTCTTCAGTAAATTGTTCTCTGTCAATTTACAATCATCTATGGCTGAGTGATATAGCAATAAACATTAAATAAATAAATAAATAAATAAATACATACATACATACATACATACAAAGAAAGAAAGAAAGAAAGAAAGAAAGAAAGTTTGATATACACTACCATTCAAAAGTCTGGGGTCCGTAAGATGTCTCTCTCCTTTTTTTTTTTTTTTTTGCCTCAGCAAGGATGCATTCAGTTGATCAAAAGCGTCAGTAAAGACATAATGTGATAATCTACAAAATATGTATATTTCAAATAAATGCTGTTTTAGCATGTGTTAACTATTTAACTATTATTACTATTTTACTGTTGAACTTTCTATTAAAAAATATATACAGTGGGTACGGAAAGTATTCAGACCCCCTTAAATTTTTCACTCTTTGTTATATTGCAGCCATTTGCTAAAATCATTTAAGTTAATTTTTTTTCCTCATTAATGTACACACAGCACCCCATATTGACAGAAATTCCAACAAGACAATGACCCTAAGCACACAGCTAAAATAGCGAAGGAGTGGCTTCACAACAACTCTGTGACTGTTCTTGAATGGCCCAGCCAGATCCCTGACTTAAACCCAATTGAGCATCTCTGGAGAGACCTAAAAATGGCTGTCCACCAACGTTTACCATCCAACCTGACAGAACTGGAGTGGATCTGCAAGAGGGAATGGCAGAGGATCCCCAAATCCAGTGGATATAACCTTGTTGCATCTTTCCCAAAAAGACTCATGGCTGTATTAGATCAAATGGGTGCTTCTACTAAATACTGAGCAGAGGGTCTGAATACTTAGGACCATGTTATATTTCAGTTTTTCTTTTTTAATAAATTTGCAAAAATGTCAACAATTCTGTGTTTTTCTGTCAATATGGGGTGCTGTGTGTACATTAATGAGGGAAAAAAATTAACTTAAATGATTTTAGCAAATGGCTGCAATATAACAAAGAGTGAAAAATTTAAGGGGGTCTGAATACTTTCCGTACCCACTGTATATCATGGTTTCCACAAAAAATAAAGCAGCAACACTGTTTTGAACATTGATAATAATGTTCCTAAGCAACAAATGTTTCTTGAGGAACAAATCTTCATATTATAGTAATGGCTGGTGAAAATTCTGCTTTGACATAATAAAAATTAACTACATTTTAAAATGAAATAGAACCCAGTTATTTTAAATTGTAATAATTTAATTTTAATAACTTTTAATAATGTTTTTTCAGATATATATTTTATATCACATTATATATCAGTCTTAATGCTCTAGTACCCCCCAAAAATAATAAATAAATAAATAAAAAATAACTTGTCAAAAATACTTTTTAGGAAACTTTAAGAGCATTAAAAATCATTGAAATATTCACAAAGACTTATGCCAACTCCGAAACCACTGCAAATATATAAATATTTAATATACAGCAAACAACTCCATATTTAATCCATAAAACTTTTACATTTAACTTAGTATTGTATATCAGCCCAACAAGCCCTTAAAGGTGACATATCATGAAAATCTGACTTTTCCAGGTTTTAAGTGCTATAATCAGGTCTCCAGTGCATCTACCAACCAAGGAAACGTGAAAAAGATTAACCCAGTAACTTTGTTTAGCTAAGCCTTTTTCTGCAAGCGTCTGAGAAAACGAGCGCGTCTGATTTCGGTCCCTTAGTGACGTGACAAAGGGATCCCATTATAATATTACCGCCCCTTAATCTGTAAGTTTCCACCCACTGCGCCGTCATTTTGATTTCGCAAGCGACAACGGTGAACCAGCTCTAATGCCACGGCGAAAGTTTGAGCAAAACATGCTAACTGTTCTGTCATTGGCTGCACAGACGAGCACAGAACACTATTTAGAGTCCCAGCCTCAGAGGAGACAAGACAGCAGTGGATTTATTGATTTATTTAATGTA